AACCTTTTGGCAGACTAAAATCTGACATACACTGAAGTACTTTATGGTGTTAATACTGTTACTATAATCATACATTTTATAACATGCACACATCATTGAGTGGTGCCATGCACTGACCATTTGATCTTTGCTATGGTGCTACATACCCGGGACTGCATGTCTATTACTGTCAAAAAAATCAACCCCCTCCCTTATAAAATAATGAATTAAAATATATATCCAATAACAAGTTCTGCAGCTGCCAAAGGTGAATGATTCCACATGTACATTTAATCTACCGCTTTGAAAGCTGAATGGTTATATATATAAGACAGTACATCGTTCACAGTTGCAAAAGTTTTATGGCTCCCAATTCTCTTCCAAAATCACCTGGGATCCAGAGATCCTGGAGACTGATTTAGTCATCTTAATCCTGCCAGGCCTCGGGGGTGTATGTTGGGTAACACAAGGGAATTGTTCCTTGGGACAATGAGATAATCCCTAGCTCCCTTCACCCAAAAGGGGCCAACACAGTGATCCACTGGGTCTTCCCTCATGTATAAATACCAGTTATGATTTATTGGGAATGAAGCTACAAGGGAGGAAGGACCCATGAATGCATTGGATACTAGACAGGACAGTAATAATTGTATAAATGTATGTATGTATGCTTGTTTGTATGTACTTGTGAAACTGTAAAGGTTTGCTAGTCCTGCTCCCCACTGGGAAGGAATCCTTTCAGGATAATGAAGCAAACAGGAAAATATATTGCCTTGGGGTGTAATTAAAATCTAACTCCAGGGAACATCCATATGTGTTACAAGATATCAAATTGCAAACTGTGCCTCAATCAGATTTCTATTGCTCTATATACATTTTTTATTCAACCACTGTATTTGCGTAAGCCATTGTGCTTTTTGTGGACTGTCATAATCTTATCACAGACTCTTTTGCATAGTCTCAAACCATATGACTCAACCTAACCTTGGTGGCACTCTAAACAACTCCAGCTTCAAAAGGACAAATGGGAATCCTCCATTCTTTCCGCCACGGTGAAGCTCCATCCATCTCTTACATCAGAGGGAGTCCCCTAACCAATGACAACCTGGATTCTAGCCTGGACACTTTTGAGTCAATCAATCAGGGGAAGGAGTAGGTCTTTTGAATGGCTGTCAATGGGGATAAATCATATTGCACTACACTGCATGTTGTTGTTGTTGTTTTATTTCTTACCTGCCTCTCCCTGTGGCTCTAGATGGGTTACAACACAATTAAAAAAAACATGAACATTGCAAAAATTCAACAAATATACACATCTCTATAAAAGATCCACACTGAAACTGCATTTCTACAAAATACATATTAAAATACATCTTTTCTATACTCAAGATTATACGCTATGAAGCATTTAAACCTGATGAAGTATTACCTTGGAGTACGTTGTTTCAAAGACTTGAGTTTACCATTTGGCTGTAAATGACTGTTTGGCATCTTCAGCAGTATTGCCACTTAGAACTTTTAAATTGGTTTGGAAGAAGTGAGTGTTATTTAGTGCAGGCCCAGAGCATTTTGCTGTTTGAACAAAGAGATGATTGCCCAACTTATATGGCTCAGTGCTCTTGAAAGTCTTTCTGAACTCTGTCCCCTTCTACCACTATCTAAATCAGATTGCGTCACCCCTCTGTATGTCAGGACAACTGAAGGCCAAACAAAAATGCTTATTTTCTTGTGTCTAGAGAACTGGGGGGTTGATTTATTAGTTTGGTGCAGTCCTGATTCTTCTCTTCCCTGCAATGTATGGGGAAATGTCAATGTAATCCCTTTTCCATCTCCTTCCTGTCAAAAACTTGACCTTTCATCCCTAATTAATGCCATCATCTTCCAACGGCACAAATGGGAACTTTTCCACTAATGGTAAGAGAAGGCCCCTTCACTCCAGTAACTAGTGTGAAATATTATGTTCATTATTACACTTCTGAAGAACAGGCAAAAAAGTGACTGATCTAGTTTGGTTCCTATTTTTAAAATATATTTTAAAAGTTCATTTATTACAGATACAAGAGCACAAAAGAGAGGAATGAAATGGAAAAGAGAGAAAAATGAGGGGAAGAGATTAATATAATTCTTAAGACATGATCCTAGATTAGGCATATATATGTTTGTGTGTGTGTGTGCATGTGTGTATGTGTGTGTCTGTAAATTGACAATAAGTGCTTCTTCAAAATCTGGTTAAAATGAACACAGATTCAGTATTAAGATCTCTCATTACTGTATGATAGGTGGTGAATATTTGTCTCTGTGCCCTGAAGTATAATGATTAATACAGAGGTAATTTATTTATTTGGTTGATGGATTGATATTCTGTCTGCCCCACATAAGAGACCCAAAACTTATGAACTGAAACAACCAAATCAGGTGAGTCTCGCATAAGAAAATAAAGTATGTAGAACCTTCTACAGGCCATTTGAATCATGCATCCAGAGATTGTTCTTTCCTTTACTAGCCTCCACTTTTATTGTGATTTTCATTTTGGTGGTTAAATGTACATGTCTTCTTATTTTTAACCTAGGATAAGGTAGCTAGTGTGGTGGGCTTGTCTCCCTTTCCCTGTGTTTTTCTGTTTGTACATGTTCAGTAAGGAATTCTAGAAGCAAATGCTTTTTACTTTGGCTGTCATATACACAGCCACAGTAGACCCAGCAAGAGCTGGGTTCCATTACATATTTTTTTCAGCTTAAGTTGGGCAAAATCTGAACTTGGAAGAGTTTATTGCAGATGCATTGCAACCATGTGGTTTTGGAAGTCTGTATTTTTCCACACTTCTTTCACTATCTTCCCAGTGCATGGCAAATAGAGCTGTCTTCCAGCATTTCACTGCCATGCATTTGCTGCCCGAATTGGCTGGCTCACTTAGCTGAATGGTAGGACTAGCCCTTCCTGTAGACTGGGGAAAGCAGAGAATGCTACTGGAGACATGGAAGATTTCCACCAAGAAGAACATGGGATAGAGATAGCTTCAGAAATAAAATGCATTGATATGTATGTATTTCCAAAAAGGAAATATGTCATTGACCGCTCTACTTACCTACACACCAACCCCCCTGCTCTCCTTTTAAAGCAGTGGCTCCCAACCTTTTTTGACCAGGGACCACTTGACCAGGGAACACTCTCCAACATTAGTATCAAAAAGGTTATGAATCAGTTTTTGGTCAACTTTAGATTTGGTCTGGTTATTTAGGGTGCTGATTCAGAAAACTGCATTGGATAGCCCAGATCAGCTTTAGTTTCTGATACAGAACATATGTCATCCAGTAATCACCATCTGCTCACCCACAGAAAACCATATTTAATAAGCCTCAGCACTATAAGAAGGTTTCGCAAGACCAGTCACTCTCATTGCAATGGTGTAGTAACGGTGAGGCCGCAGACCATATTTTAGTTCTTGTGGATCACTGGTTTTTCATGGACCACAGGATGGGAACCACTGTTTTAAAGTATTGTATTTCTTTGTTCCATTTTGCTCCCATTTTCCCCTTCCAGCTAAGCCTCTGGCACACATTTCCGTTAGTGAGCTTTTTTTTTTTTTGTCGTGTCAGGAGCGACTTGAGAAACTGCAAGTTGCGTCTGGTGTGAGAGAATTGGCCGTCTGCAAGGACGTTACCCAGGGGACGCCTGGATGATTTGATGTTTTTATCATCCTTGTGGGAGGCTTCTCTCATGTCCCTGTATGAGAAGCCGGAGCTGATAGAGGGAGTTCATCCGCCTCTCCCCCGATTTGAACCTGCGACCTGTTGGTCTTCAGTCCTGCCAGCACAGGGGTTTAACCCACTGCACCACCGGGGGCTCCTTCCTTAGTGAGCTGTTTCCTTAAGTCTCTAGGTACTACTCCTTTTAACTGCTAATCTACCATTCTTCTGTGCATTTAATTCTGATCTCAGCATAAGGTGGTATGGCTACACCTCCACAATTTGAGGTGGTCTATCAATAGTCAGAAAAACCCCAGGTTCTGTACAAGTATATCCCCAGTTAGGATACATATCAAACTACACAACATACATCTCTACTCTAATTGCATATAAGTATAAACTAAAAGAATGTACATATAAACTGGGTTTAAAAGTGGATTTCTTGCTTCTTTTTTAGTTTCTCAAAAAGTTAGTATTTTTCTTCCTCCTTATATCCAATACATTGTTTACTTCTTGCTTATTTTAACATAAACAAATAAGTAACAATTTATAATTCCAAACCTCTTTCACTTTCCCTCAGACATATATTGATAAAAAGCTTTCAATTCTTCTAAAATGTGTCCAATGACTTATCCCACAGAGCTCTGGGGAAATTTCTGTGTAAACATGATCAGCTAGAAAATATTCACAAGATTGACCAATCAGTATAAGACAATGTCTTACCATGATAGCTTACAGAATGAACGTGTTAGTAAATATTCATGCTTAGGGCCTGCTTTCATTGCAAATGAAAAAGATTAATCTCTGGACATATTACAGACAACTGAGGCCAGAAACCTACTGTCCTAACTCAGAGCTCCATTTCCAAAATTTTGTATTGCTAAATAAATCAAAACTTGTTGGACCCCCATCCCAGCAAAAATGCAAGCCTGACAGCTTTTACTGGATCACGGCATTAAACTGTGTACTAACTGGTTCACAACCCTTTGAAAACTTGGCTCAGTTATTAAAGCTTAAACATTCCCATGACCCAGTTTCTATTTCAGAGTTTCTGCATCTATTTAAAGATATAAAATAGTGAAGGAGCTATGCTATGTTTTCTCTTCCAGAAAAAAATGCAGAATCGTGAGACTATTTATCTCCAGGTCACATGGTGTTGATGGTTGCTGTTTTTTTTTTTTTTTTTAATTATTGTGCCTGTTTGAAAAATGGATGGCCCTATTTGGATTTTTAAAAGGCGAATGATGCTTTACTACTTTAAAAATGGGAAGGGAAGGCGCATTCCACTGAGATTCTCACATGAAGGTTAAAAATAAGAAATCTGAAAGAGTATAAAAGAAGGATGTTTGGAATAATGAGAGGATAAACCAAACTGGATATCTAGGACTACAGTTAACAATACAAGCTTTCTCAGGAAACTTAAGTCTCCGGTGACAAATAAGAGTCACAACAAGACAGGATACACATGGACCCAACCGCTGAGCAGAAGGGATATGGGAGGCAAACAGACTGTGATCCATTGTCTTAACATGTGTTTTTAAAAGCTTTCTTATTATTCAACCTCAGCTTGCAATGCAGAGATCACTAAGTTCAGCGCTCCTTTGCTCTGCCAAGATGGAGAATCGCCTTCAGATCTTCTGGCCAGTGCTACTTCTTGTGGCTCTGATCATCCAGCCCAGTGAAGAGGCAGAGGTCTTGTGTACTGGGACAGCTTGCTACACACTGGACTTAGGAAAGCACTCATGGATAAATGCTCAGCAAATGTGCAAAAACAATGGGGGAAATCTGATGACCCTGAAGAGCCAAGAGGAGGCTTTAATTGTCCGGCAGCTACTGAACAAGACACCCCAGGAGGGAGCTGGCACAGATGTGGAGGTAAGAGTGTGGATTGGGCTCCACCGAGAGAAGGGCAAATGCTATCAGCAGCATCAGCCCCTGAAGGGCTTCGTCTGGGTGACAGGAGGCATGGAAACCAATTACTCTAACTGGGGACGAGAGCCCCGGGGAACATGCACAACAAATAGGTGTGTCACCATTCAAGGGACTTTCTCCTCATCTCAAGAACTATCTTGGGCAGATGGTCCATGCAGTCAGGCAACCAAGGGCTACTTGTGCAAGTTCAGCTTCCAGGGCATGTGCCGGCCACTTGTATTGGCAGGGCCAGGTGTTGCCAGATACACCACCCCTTTTGGCGTGACTACAGCTTCCCTTGCAGCAGTGCCTTTTGGCTCCAATGCTAAAGTGGAGTGCGGACCTGAGGGAAAAGAGATTACTACCTCCTACCTCATGTGCATGCCCCAGCCAAACAGCAATATCTCTGAATGGAGTAGCCCTGGGCCATTTTGTGCTTCACCTGCTTATGGCTGTAGCTACAGCAATGGGGGCTGTGAGCATGACTGCCTAGACCGGGGTGGGGGCTTGTTTGAATGCTCTTGCCACTCTGGATACCAACTTGGCGGGGATCATCTTTCTTGCATTCCTGTGGACTATTGTATCTCCAGTCCATGTCAGGGGAAGTGCTTGCCATACCCTGGTGGCTTCACATGTCAGTGCTCTGAGGGCTATATGTTGGCCGAAGATGGGTTGAGTTGTCTGGATGTGGATGAATGCAGGGCTACCCTCGGGCCCTGTGAACAGATCTGTGTGAACACAATAGGCAGCTTCATATGCCGCTGCCACCAAGGCTATAAGCCTACTGAACCTAATGGCCAAACATGCCAGGACATTGATGAGTGTGCTACACTCACACCGTGTGACCAAGTTTGTTTAAACACACCAGGCTCCTTCCTTTGCTCTTGTCAGACTGGCTATGAGTTGGAGGGGGTCAATAGTTCTTCTTGTCTAGATGTTGATGAGTGCCAGGAAGAGCTTTGTGAGCACATGTGCATCAACCAGCCAGGAAGTTACCAGTGCTCTTGCAGGCCAGGCTGGATTCTGGCACCCAATGAGATCTCTTGCTATCCAGATACAACTACTTCTTTCCCACCTACCCAGAAACAGGAATTGGTGAGTCCAGAAAATATTGTTCCTGCTTCAGAGACACCGGCCCCACTTTCTACTTCCTCTGTTCATGTTGAAGAAGAAAGAATTATTGTATCCCAGGAATCTACTCTCCAGCCAAATGTGTTCAGCAGTCCATTAGATGCTAAAAATGTTGTCAGAGATGGCTACACAGACAATAGTAGTGGCAACTCCAAGCAACTTCTATATTACAGCTTGGGTGGGGTGGCTGTCTTGCTATTGTTGGCTCTTGTTCTAATTGGGGTGGCCTACAAGAAAATGAAAGCCAAAGAAGCCAAGAAAAAATCTACAAATGCTGCCGATAACTATTCTTGGGTACCAGATCAGCGGGAGACTAGAGCACAGAGCAACGAATACATGTAATTGACACTGTATTTTTGTTGTTGCCATGGCAATCAGCAGAGGACAAAGAAAATATATATGAAAACTGGAAATAGGAAAAGAATGAACTTGCCAAGAACATTTTCATATGGCACTCACTAAAGACAATACCTCTGATTCATTGTGCCACCTAAACATTGAGGGTGATGAAAGAAAAGGGACTTTAAGATTAAACAGAGAAAGGTCTGCATTTTATGGACATTTCATTTTGCATAGTCTCAAATATTGAATTTTGGGGTGGATGGGTGGCTTTCTCCATGTATTTTCTTATTTCAGAAAACATTAATGAAGAAAAAGAGAATAACTGTAAAATCTTATTTGATTGTTGGGACCTGTCTGAAGCATCCACAAAAGATCAAGTAGAAGAAGAGATCAGTTTTGTCTATGCATCAGGTGGGAATCTTTAACCAAATTTTTAAAGCAGTGCATGCATATTTCTTTATATACACCAGGGGTGGAAATCACATGATCCTCCAGATGTTGTTAGATTAGCATTCCCAGCATTTCTTACTAGGCCTAATGGGAGTTGCAGTCTAACAACAAGGACACAATTCTCACCAATGGTGTATGTCCTTCACTTTCTTCACTTTGAAATAAAAATAAAGCATTTTTTTTCAAAAAGTTGCAAAATTATGTCAAAGATTGGAAGAAGAAAGCATATGGGTGAAATGGATGCAAACTAAAAGGTACCTGCTGCAGGTAGGTTCTTTGTGTTCATGAAGAACGGCTTGAAACACATTCAGAGCTCTCTCAGACTACCCTACAAAATCCATATTTGTGTAACCCATCATTAAACCGCTTTAAAAAACTGGTTTTTTTTAAAACAAGTTTGGACGCCATTAAGCAGATTTAAATCAGGGAGCCATAGGTCAGTTTATCTGTCGGTCTTCAGTCCTGCCGGCACAGGGGTTTAACCCACTGTGCCACCGGGGGCTCCTATGAATTGATTTTATTAAATAGACTTCTTGGGGAATTTATTAGGGCCCTTCCACACAGCCATATAACCCAGAACTAACCCAGATAATCCACAATATCTGCTTTGAAGTGGATTATCTGAGTCCACATTGTCATATAATCCACTTCAATGTAGATTTTATACAACTGTGTGGATGGGGATTCAGTTATACTTGTAGATGTTATATCTGCAGTAGGCCTAAATCACATTTCAGTTTTCCATATAAATATCAGGATGCATAGATCTGAGTGAAGAGTATAAGATGTAGGGATCATGAAAGGATAGTAAGAATCAATTGCGGCTCCTTCCACACAGCTGTATAAATCTTTATAATCTCATGTTTTATTATGGAAATAGGTACATATGATACCGGGGCCTTATACTGAAATGGAACTTGGCAGGTGCTTTCTCAGATTTTCCTCTGAAATAATCTTCCTCAGCCACTGCAGAGCTCTTTCTGTATAGTATAAACAATTTAACTCTCCAAGTATGCTTTTTCTCAAGTGAATATTTATATAATGAGATTATATTTACTCATTTTAAATTTACATTTCAAACAACAGTCTGCAGGACCCTCCAAAGTTAAACATCTTGATAATCAATAGGTTTCAACAACAGAGAACTAAGTACATGTTTAATCCTTTATTTAATATCAGTTAAAATTGCTTTATTATAACCTGTACCACATGTCCCAAATTGTTGCAGGTGTGCATAACTACAGTAAAGTTTGTTATAATCTGCCAGCTACATCCTGTTGTTTAGTAAGTACAGAAAAACATTTTCCTCCCGGTTTTCCTCTCTGGTGGGCTTGTTATAAGTTCAAGGAAGCAGTGATGAAAATGCAGAATTCCAGCTGCCTGAATGTTTTAAACAGGTGTCTTCATATTCTTTTTGTATAATTACCAAGAAGAGAGGTAAGAGATGAACAATATGGGTGCCTTTCAGAAACTATAAATGAATACAGTTCCAGTTATGGCTTAAATACACATCTTGTTAAACATGTGGTTGTCACATACAAATAAAGAGAGAACATACATATGTATTTTGTTGAAATGTAGGACATATAGCAGAAACTTCTGGGAATTCACTGATTTGGAACACATTATCTGACCTGGTGGACCTGAAGATCTGTTGTTCCTGAATGAAATTATGGGATTTATAACCCAACACATCTGGAGTAGTATTTGGATGTGAGTAGTGGATATTTGTATTCTAGCAAAAAAAAAGTAGATCACATAAGCCTAAAATCTACCTTTCCTAGTAGTAGATATACATTAAGTTAAATGGACTAAGTTAGGCTAAATATTCCGTAGATATTCTATAATACTAGTGAGTTGCAGAAACTATGTATCAACTGCAAGCCATAAAATATGAAGGAGTCAAGTACTCATCGTTCCCAATTAGTGAAGGAGAAAATTGAGCAGATGAAATGTTATCAAACTGCATTATTTCTACAATACAGACGCACCCTATTTTATAGAAAGGCCACCACCACAAACCATCTTTGAATATTCCTTGACTAAAAAATGGTGAGATTGCCTTAAATTAACAGACAGCTTGAAGATGAATGTACACACATGTGTATATCCTGCCACTTCTGTCAAAAATTCTCAAAGCAGCTAGCAAAGATGTATTATTTGTATAATGTTGTAAAACAGATTGAAATGTTCAAATAATTTTTATACATAAATCAATTTGAAAAGTATTACTGTCACACAAACAATACAAACAAAATAAAGCTTGAGTGAAATGGAAACAGAACCTTTAAAAAGCAGAAGCAAAGAGATTGGATACAGAGGGTTAAGCATGTGATGCTAGGAATAGCTCATCCCAGCTATTGTCAGTCATATGATTCCCTTGGCCTCAGGTTTATTCCTAATTTGCAATCTGGAAGTAATAAATCTGGCTCACTGAACTAATGAAAAATTCCTGAGATGGTGTACTTGGGTCATTGGCACATTTGAAAGGTGCTATTAATGCAGAACAAGACAAACTGAAGTATGAAATGAAATACAAACCATCAACTTGCTGCTTGCTTGCAGCATCTTTACTCCAAACACTTTAGATATTTTGGACTACAACTCCCATAATGACTGGGGATGGTGGAAATTGTAATTCAGCATTATTGGAGGGTATCAGGTTAAAGATGGCAGGTCTAGAGGTGTAAAACTGCCAGTGAATTTGGGAATATGGTCTGATACTTAAATTATCATAACAAAGGTTTATGTCTTCTCATTGGAGATTTCCTTAGAAATCTAAGGTCCCTTCCAGACAGGCCCTATATCCCAGGTTTTCTGCTTTAACCTGGATTATATGAGTCTGCACTGCCAGATAATCTGGTATAAACAGAAAACTTGGGATCAGATTCTGGGATATACAGCCTGTCTGGAAGGGCCCTTAGTTAACAACAGCCATGATAAATCAATTCAGCTTCATGTCTCTCTTGAAAGATGTATTATTTACGACTATCATCTCCTCTTCTTCTAATCTTGTTTATCTTCCAATAATGGAACTTCATCCAGCTAACAACACATTTAGAAACTACACATAACAATAACTGTACTAAATTTAGTATATAAATAAGAAACCAATTTTAAAATTTGTAAAAAATAAAATTAATTACAAGACTATAAAAAAAAGAACAGTACATAATTAAAAGCCCATCCTATCTGATTGTGAAAAGCCTGAAGTCATTTTGCTAAAACAGACTAAGGGCACATCTACACTGTAAAATTAATGTAGTATGACACTACCTAAACTGCCATGGCTCAGTGCTAAGAAATCAGAGGAGTTGTAGTGTTACAAAAGATGTTTAGCCTTCTCTGCCTAAGAGTGCTGGTGCCTCACCATACTACAGCTCCAAAGTTTCCATGTATCGAGTCACAGCAGTTACAATGGTATCAAATGGCATTAATTCTATAGTGTAGCTACATACTAAAATAATCTCTAAATGTTGAAGAATTTATTTATTTACATCACTTATATCCCGCCCATATCAGCCCGCAGGCGAAAAGTTCTCTTAAAACATCGAACTGGAGTAGCATTCAATAGCACTTTGGGAGAAATCACTACTTCTTTAGGTTCCATATTCTTCCTTTGAAAGACAGAATTGTTTTTGTCATTGCTGCTATGCTCCCAATTCACATCCTTATCTGATGTGAGGAAATGACTGCTTCCCATTTTGCTATGGAACTAGCAGTGAGAAATAATCACAGAGATCCAGTAATTAATGTAATTATTCTGGTTATTAGCAAAATTAAACATAAAATTGCATATTATCCTTTTAAGTTCTACAAAGATATATAAATATGAGAAGCTATCTATGTTCTGCTCATTGAAGGGAAGAATAGTAGAGGCCAAGATGAAGTACTTTGGCCACATCATGAGAAGAAAGGAAAGCTTAGAGAAGACAATTATGCAGGGGAAAATGGAAGAAAAAAGGAAGATGGGCCGACCAAGGGCAAGATGGATGGATGGTATCCTTGAAGTGACTGGATTGACCTTGAAGGAGCTGGGGGTGGTGACAATTGACACGGAGCTCTGGCTTGGACTGGTCCATGAAGTCACGAAGAGTCAAAAATGACTGAACGAATGAACAACAACAACATCTATGTTCTGGCATCTCCTACAATGCTTGATGGTCTAACCTTTCTAGCATATGCATATTCCAGAGTATATGCATTACTTAGGAAGGGACAGATTGTGTTCAGTGCTTGTCAGTGGCATCAGAAGGAAAGACAATAGATTCAAAACAGCCAACCAGCCAGCCAATCATTCATCGAGCCAACCAAAGAGTTGAATCTAACAAAGGTGTCTACATAAAATGTTTCTTCCACTTACACTAAAAAATAATTAATGGGCCATTCATAAAATGAATCTACATTTGAAAATTATGATGTCATGGGGAAATACAAAAGGAGGAATGCAATACATATAGCACAAAATTCTCAGTCACAGCAATGAAAGAGTCTCTATCTGAGACCTAATAAGGTAAACCCAGGAGACTGGGCCGAAGAGCATAGA